GTGCTCTTTACAACAGGTGTAGGATCAATGAAATATTCACTTCAGGCCGGGCGCAGTGGCTCACGCCTGTAATCTCAGCACTTTGGGAGGCCAAGGAGGACAGATCACCAGGTCAGGTGTTCAAGACCAGCATGATCAATATGGTGAAACCTCGTCTCTACTAAAAATACAAAAAATTAGCTGGGCGTAGAGACACATGCCTGCCCCAGCTACTCAAGAGGCTGAGACAGGAGAATTGCTTGAACCCAGGAGGCGGAGGTTGCAGTGAGCCAAGATTGTGCCACTGCACTCCAGCCTGGGTGACAGAGTGAGACTCCATCTCAAAAAAAAGAAAGAAAGAAAGAAAGACTTATTTTAACCTTCTTGTTCTTGTCTTCTGGTTCAACTGTATGTACAATAAATGTTAGTTGTTTAACATTTCATTCCTGCCACAATCTGACAGAACTAAGTAATATATACCTTTTAAATTTTTATGTGTGGCATTTTGTCTAATTTAATTACCTGTTAAATTAATCATTACATATTGAATTCTCCCACCTAGAAAGTGATCATTTATTTTACAATTTCTTATCCACCTTACATGATCAGCCACTCTAGCATTAAATTTTGAAATTATTTCTAGCGAACTTAGAAAAATTTCTTTTTTTCAGTAAATATTGTGCCATAGAAATCTTTGTCATGCTTTGTGTTGAAAATCATGCCAGTGTTCTCTATCAGCACTTGTCTGCATGGAATACTATTGATTATTCACTATTTCTTCAGCTTTTTTGTTCCATGATAGTAATTGCCTTTGAGGCTTTTTGTGTAAAAGTGACATTTTACGATTGTAATTAAATCTTCATTCAGGGAAGAATATGAAGTTGCAAGTTTGCCAGGATTTCGTCTGATATGTTCAAATTATGAATGTGATTAGAAAAATGTTCTGACTCACTCTCTTCTCTTTTCTGACCAGTAACTAAATCCTCATTGCATAAGCCATTTGCAATACCCTGTTTGCATATCTTATGTGGGTCATATTGAATAGAAATCTGCTTGTTTTCCATTTTTAAAAAACTTAAGCACACTACTTCTTTAAAATTTTTCTCTTTTTTCAGCTTTTTTTCTGAGCTACATTAATATATTGTAGATTTTAATTTGTATCCAACCCCAATTTTTATTCACTCTCAATGACCTAGGAACTTCTGCCTCTCAAAGCCTCCTGTACTATGAAACAGTGTTCATCTCTGATACATAGCCCCTAAACTTTGTGGTTACCCTTTTTCCCCTAGTGTATGTCCTTTAAAGTTTTTTTACATTTTATTGTGCTGACTATATGTAACTTAAAATTTACCATTTTAACCATTTCAGCATTAAGTACATTTACACGTTGTACAAGCATCACCACTATCTATTTCTAGAACTTTTTCATCATCCCAAAATGCAACTCTGTACCTGTTAAACAAAAATAGCTGGGCTGGGAGTGGTGGCTCACACCTGTAATCCCAGCACTTTGGGAAGCTGAGGTGGGTGGATCACTTGAGGTCAGGAATTTGAGACTAGCCTGGCCAACATGGTGAAACCCTGTCTCTACTAAAAATACAAAATTAGCCGGGTGTGGTGGTGGGCAGCTGAATCCCAGCTACTTGGAAGTCTGAGGCAGGAGAAACACTTGAGCATGGGAGGCGGAGGTTGCAATGAGCCGAGATAGTACCACTGCACTCCAGCCTGGGCAACAGAGAAGCACTCCATCTCATTAAAAGAAAAAAAAAAACTCCCTACTTTCCCGGCCCTTCGAAACCACTGGTCTACTTTCCATCTCTATGAATTTGATTACTCTAAGGATCTTGTATAAGTGGAAAAATACAATATTTGCTTTTTTGCGATTGGCTTGTTTCACTTAGCATAATTTCCTCAAGGTTCATCCATGTTGTAGCATGTGTCAGAATTTTTAAGGCTGAATGATACTCCATTGTATGTATTATGTGAGTCCATTCACATTGTGATAAAGGAACACCTGATGCTGGGTAGTCTATAAAGAAAAGAGGTTTATTTGGCTCACAGTTCTGCAGGCTGTACAAGCATGGCACCCACATCTGCTGGGCTTCTGCAGAGCCAGGAAGCTTTTAGTCATGGTGAAAGGGAAGGACAGCTGCTGTGTCCATGGCAAGAGAGGGAACAAGAGGGCAAGGAGAAGATGTCCAGGCTCTTTTAAACAATCAGATCTTTCATGAACTCATTACCACAGGGGAGGACAACAAGCTATTGGTGAGGGATCTGCCCCCATGACCCAAACACCTCCCATCAGGCCGGCCTATAACATTGGGAATCACATTTCAACATGAGATATGGAGGGGACAAATATCCAAACCATATTATGTATATACCAAATTTTGTTTGTCCATTCATCTGTTAATGGACATTCGGGTTGTTTCCACATTTTAGTTACTGTGAATAATGCTGCTACGGACATTGGTGTGCAAGGCTCTATTTGAGTCCCTGATTTAGTTTTTTTGGGTTTATACATAGGAATAGAATTTCTAGGTCATACGGTAATTCCATATTTAACTTCTTTAGAAACTTGTGGCTTCCATTTGCACCTAAATTTTCTTCTACTCCTTTCATATTGGGTTGTTTTAAAAGATAAAAGTTCTTCACAATATTTTTCTGGGTATAGTATGTGGGACAGAGCTAACTACATTTTTATGTGAATGGATATTCAATTGTTTCAGACCCATTTATTGTATAGTGTTTTTCTCCCACTGCCTTGAAACTCTGGTTTTGTCATACTCTAAATTGTCACATAAACAAAGGTCTCTTTCTGAATTTCTACTTTTTCTATTGTGCCAATATCCACAGCTGTATAAGTGCTCACATTGTGCTTTTTTAAAACTATTCTCATTCTTTCTCAAACTTTTCTTTCCTCTAGATGAACTTTAGACTCAAGTTTGTGAAATTCAGTTAAAATTTTCTGGGAATTTTAATTAGAATTATATTGGTTGACACTTGAATAGGGAAGAAGCAACACATTTGCAATATCAAACTCTTGCATACAAAAACTTGGTATTTCCCTCCGTTTATTCAGATCAGCCTTTCCTTTCTTCACTAAAGACCTTCCACATTCTTTTTACATGTTTTAAAGTTTTCTTGCTACTGTGAATGCAAAATAAGAATTTCTGTCTTTAAAATCATCAGGAAAACAATCTGTTTGGTAATAGCAATATTACACTTTAATCATTCCTGTATTTTTAGACATTTAAGCTTTTTCAACTTTTGCTATTATAATTTAGAAAAAATGCTGCTATATATAAATCTTTGACTACATTACAGATTTTTTCTTGGAATCTTTAGAATAGATTCTGAGTATTTCTGGATCAGAGAGTAAGGACAATTTTAAGGTTCTTAAGGCACATTCTTGATACGTTGCTTTCCATTGCACTAAAAATCGAATTTAGACTCTTCCCATTATCTACACAGCCCTCCCTACACAGCTCTTGCCTCTCTCTCCAACATAATCTTTTGCCATATTCTCCCCAGTTCACTGTGGTCCAGTCCTATTGGCCTTCCCTCTGTTTCTATAACACACCAAGCTTATTGCTAAAATTTCGGTGGCTTAACACCATAAAAGCTTATCTCTCACTCCTCTATCTTGCAGCTACAGCATCTGGAACATGTGGACTCTAGGACTGCTGCAGGCAGTAGAGAGGGCTGGACGAAGCACCCTAGTTCTTAGTTGCCTTGGCCCAGATGCCAAGATGTCACATCTGCTCATAGTCCATTGACCAAAACCAGTCACATGACCCAGCCTCACTGCAAAGAAGGGCTGAAAATATTAAGAGGACATGGAACATTTGGTGAGCACTGTCTACCTCTGCTACAATGCCCCTCCACCTGCCATTTGCCTTTGCCTTTCTATTATTTCCCTGGAAGTCAAACAGTCTTTTGTATGATTATTAGCTATTAATAGCATGTGTAACTATTAATATCTATTTTTAGCATGTTTTCATGAATCAATTGCACATGTCCTTTCCACAACTATCTATAGGAATTCTTATTTGTTCATTAGAGCTATTTACATATGAAAGCTATTTTAGGATTTCTTAATGATTTCATTTATCATCTGTTCCAATTTTCTCCTGTGTTTGATTTGTATTTTAATGTTCCATATTTTTATGACATGGAGAAGTTTTTATTTTAAAATAATCTGCTTTCTATTCATTAGATTTGATTAGTAATAATCAGATTTTTTGATGTTGCTCTTGCTTTTAAACCTGCTTTCTTATCAAAATACTACACATTCACCTATATCTTCTTATTTTTTATGGTTAGACTTTTTACATTTTACTTTTCAACAAAAAATATAAAATTATTAGTTACTAGCCAATGGAAAAAATGAGGAACTCTCCAAGAACTTAAAAATGAGATCACATAATGAACCAGCACATGGCTACACATCATTACCTTAGACAAATTGGCTACCAAGCTGAAGCTTTATTTAGCATGGAGGGTGTGGGGATTATGCTGAATAAAGGAGTACCAGAGAGAGGCAGTCCAAGGAGAAAGTATCATAATCAGAACCTACATGGCAGATACATCCCTTTGGTAGAAACAGACACATCTGGCTATCATCAGCCACTAGAACATCCAACTCTCTTTCTAGTTCTGATTCTAGTTCTCAGTGTTCAAGTATGAGTTGTCTTCCCATGCTGCTTGCTTACAGAAAGAAAAGACATTGACTAAAGAATACAAATATCCAGTCTACCTGACAGCTATACTTGTGTTACAAAGGAGTGAACTGGCATTCTAACATACACAGCACTCTGTGTGTCTGCTGAGAGTCAGTTCCCAAGAACCTGGCTATTTATTTTGCTTATGCTTGGAGTCAAATTTCAGAGCCTAAGAAGCCATGTCAACACCTTAAACACAGTCATGACACCCAAGCACTGCTCCTTATTTGGAATTGCCTAGAAATCCAGCATCTTCCCCAGGTGGCACCTCTTTACAGCTCAATGCAAGATTGCTTCAAAGACCAATGTGTTTGCTGAATTGTTCCTGTTATCTTTGCACAGGGACCAAACTAACCTTTTCTGAATTATTGCAGTTTTAGTATTTGTGCTACCAAAGTGAGCACGTGGATGCTATTTAAAGTCTAAATCAGGGATCTGCAAATGGATCAAATCTGGTCTGCTGTTTATGTTTGTAAATAAAAATAAAGTTTTATTTAAACATAGACACACTCATTCATTTACATTGTGTATGGCTGGTTGCCTCTCCAACAACAGAGTTGGAGTAGTTGTAATGAAAAGGCCATATGACCCACAAAACCTAAGATACTTACTATCTGGCCCTGTGCAGAACAACCTTCCTGACTCCTGCCCTAGGAAGTGGCAAAGGAACAGGATAAAAGGAACCTGGATCCCTCTTTAACCAGACTTTATAAATATACTTCTAGGCCAGGCACTGTGGTTCACACCTGTAATCCCAGAAGTTTGGGAGGCCAAGGTGGGAGGATTGCTTGAGGTCAGGAGTTCAGACCAGCCTGGGTAACATAGCAAGACCCCATCTCCATAAGAAATTTAAAAATTAACTGGATGTACTGCTACATTCCTGTAGTCCTAACTCCTTGGAAGGCTGAAGAAGGAGGATCACTTGAGCCCAGGAGTTCAAACTATGGTCACACCAATGCACTCCAATAGAGCAAGACCCTGTTTCTGGAAAAAGAAAAAGGAAAAAAGGAAACAAAACATTTCTATCTTGTTTGTACCATTGGATTTTTTGTGGTATCTTGCCATAATTAACCAGTGTGGAGCAAATCCCTTCAGAATATATATGCATCAGTCAGATTGGGATCGGCTATGTTGTACCAATCACAACCCTTAAAAACTTATGTGCCTATAAAAAATAGGTTTCTTTATCACTCCTGCTATGTGTCTGTCCACTGAGTCAGCTGCTAGTTCTATTCCACATCTTCTCACTCCAGGACAGGTGAAGGGACCCTCCATCATTTGAACCATCATTGTTGGCCCGAAAGGGAAAAAGAATATGGAAATCATGAGTTGTTTCTTAAAGTTTCAACCAGAAGTGACATTTCTCACTTTTGCTCAAGTTCTATTGACCAACATTAAGATCTGTGCTGTAGCAGGTACAATGAGGCCCTGCCCACCTCACCTTAGCTGCCAGAGCTCACCTGGAGCACAGTGCAGTTCCCAGCAAGCTGGCAGCCTCTACCTCAAATGCTTGCTTCTCTCCTATTCCCAGGGACTTTTCCCAGCACCAGGGCTGGTTCCACACACACAGGTGCAATCTGGAAATACAAGCGTGACAATGCCACTGCAGCAATGTTTCACCAATGGGAGGGTGGTAGCTGGTGATCAATGCCCCAGTATCCCTCTTTTGTTTTTTTATGACACAATTCTGAGGCAAGATTCACTTTTTTTCCCTGAGTGGCCTCATTAGAATTGAGCACCAGTTGCCCACAGCTCTTCCCTCATCCCTGTCTCACTTCTCCACTTACCACTTTTTTTTTTTTTTTTTTTTTTTTGAAACAGAGTTTCGCTGTTGCTGCCCAAGCTAGAGTACAATGGTGCAACCTCTGCCTCCCGGGTTCAAGCAATTCTCCTGTCTCAGCCTCCCAAGTAGCTGAGATTACAGGCAGGCACCACCACACCTGGCTAATTTTTATATTTTAGTAGAGATGGAGTTTCACCACACTGACCAGGCTGGTCTCAAACTCCTGACCTCAGGTAATCTGCCCTCCTCAGCCTCCCAAAGTGCTGGGATTACAGGCATGACCACTTCCTCACTTTTGTTTCCTGAGATCACCTTCCACATATGTTGCACTGCACCCAAGATTTTGTCTCAGGGTCCACCTTTATAACAAGTCAAATTAATACATGGCCATGCTTAATTTAAAGGAAGATGAAAAGCCATTTCAATAAGACTCCAGAATGACAATAGCCCTACTGACTCCCACAGCTTCCAGCACCTTCTAAGGTTAGTTCCCGAGAATCAGGGCCACACATTCCAATCACACTGGGCGTTGTCCCCTCACCTTCATTTTTCTGCTTCTATGTCATTTGTCATATTGTCTGCCTGAATTATTTTTTCCTTCTTGTTTTCAATATCTGTAATTCAGGCTACTCCTTAATTCAAGACCCTACCAAATATTACCTCCACACTGTTTATCTGATCCTCCCAGGAGGGAGAGGCAGCAGTGAGCCAAGATCATGCCATGGCACTCCAGCCTGGGTGACAGAGCGAGACTCCATCTCAAAAAAAAAAAAAAAAAGAAGAGACACAGTGGGAAATATGTTCAAAGTGCTGGTGTTACCTGAGGGAGATAAAAGAATATTTATCATGGGAAGTTTCCAAAGCCACAGGAGAGATGTGTGCTCCAGAACCATGTTTCTCTGCCTTTTTTTTCTTTTCTTTTTCATTATTGTACCTCTATGGAGAAAAAAAAATTATGTGAGCTTTAAATTAATTAATTTTAATTTGAAATTAAATTTCTCCCTAATGAGAGCAATTAAGTACTAAGGACTATCTGTTACCCTATCCCCCAAAGTGGGAAAAAATCCTTCCCTTCTTTAAACACCTTAATAAACACCTTAAATAAAACATTGTCTTTTACACTTCTCATTTCCTATCTTGCAATGTAATTATGTCATGTTTTGCCTACCCTAATCTATTGCAATCTTATCAATGACAAGATTTTTTCTCACTCCATCTCTGTCTTCCTCATTGCCTGACAGTGCCAGTGCGTAGCGAGTGCTATTGGCCCATGACTGGCTACGTGAGTGGCTGATTTTCTTCATTGGGAAATGTATTTACCTCACATCTACTGAGCTAACCAAAACACATTTCCCATCAGAGGCTAACACAGAAGAAAGTTAGTTCATGTTTGTGCTCAAAATCTGTGACAATTCATTATATCTCTCTCTCTTTCATCATAAATGATTGATTGCAAGAGAAGTAAATTTAATTTTGTAGGGCGTTTTCTATCTTCTGAAGTACACGCATATTTTTACTAAGCACTGTGTTAGTCTGTTCAAATGTTATAGCAAAAAACACCATAAACCAGATGACTTATAAACAACAGAAATTTGTTGCTCACAGTTCAAGGGGCCTAAAAGTTTAAGATCAAGTTAGACTTTTGATGGCCCCACCTCTTAATAGCATCACCTTGGGGATTAGATTTCAACAAATGAATTTTGGAGGCACACAAACGTTCGGCCCATAGCAAGTGCATTTGTGTTGTGTGCAAACTTTATTAAAAACAGAAATGAGAGTGGTCTCACCTCTGTGTACAATTTGGAGCTCCTAATACAAGAGATTTAAATAACAAGAAGATCTTGTCTCTTAACAATAATGGCACTTATTTAATTTGAATGAAATACAGCCGAGAAGACAAGTTGTCCTTGAACCACGGCAAGGCTCTCAGAAATCCAAGGTAAGCTTTGTGCTTAAAGAAGTGGCTACAGCTATTGTTTTACACTTCTTAAAATGAAGGCGGTAGCGGCCAGTATAAAATCAGCTGTGGGGCAGATGAATAGACCCATATTTCGGAAACTTTCCTGCATTGTCTTGGTGATCTGACAGCCCAGGCTCAGAGAACTGTGTTCATTTAAAAAATATTGACTGAACTCTTGCTGTATGCTGGGGCCTGTGCTAGACCCTGGGAACGTGGCAGTGAGCAACAGCATGGTTCCTGACCTCAGAGAACAAACACTCTAGTGTGTGTGTTGTTGGGGGAAGCTGTCTTGACCTTCCGACATACTAGCTGTGTGATCTTGGGTAAGTCACTAGATCTATTTTAACCAACATTGTTACTGTTGTTTTTAAAGAGGATATGATATCCAGCAGCCTCATCTTCCTGCAGCAGGATTCGAATGAGATCATCTAGGTGAGTCCAGACTTAGCTATGATTGGGTGTGGGTGCCCAGGTAGAATGAATACTTGAAGGGAGGTCATCACAGGTCCCTAAGGATTAATGGAGTTATTTGCATATCTTCTCCAATGTCAAGGGCAGGTAACTCCCAGCTGGGCACACCAGGGAGAGAAGCAGCTGCCTCAGAAATTGTGTCTGGAAGGAATTATATGAACATGTCCAAAAGAGAAAAAGAAAAGCATAAGAAACTTACAGTTGGTCCAAAGTAGGACTTGCCTTTTCCAAAGTCCAGCCTTTATTGGCCATTTAGAGAAAGCTGCCTTTTGGGAGAGATAGAAGGTTTGGGAATATGTGGTGGGAACTAGGACAAGGGGTTATGAGGAGACTCAGAGCAGGTGCAGCATTTGATTGTCTGTCTCGAGCATATGTGAAAGGTTCCTTCCAGTTATTGCCTCAAGAGTTCATCTTAGGAAGAGCCACAGTGGGTGGCCGGGCATGGTGACTCATGCTGTAATCCTAGTACTTTGGGAGGCCAAGGTGGGAAGATCACCTGAGTCAGGAGTTTGAGACTAGCCTGGCCAACACAGTGAAACCCTGAAACCCCGTCTCTACTAAAAATACAAAAATTAGCCAGGTGGGGTGGTGTGCACCTGTAGTCCCAGCTACTCAGGAGGCGGAGGCAGGAGAAGTGCGTGAACGCAGGAGGCAGAGGCTGCAGTGAGCCAAGACCATGCCACTGCACTCCTGCACGCCTGCCTGGATGACAGAGCGAGACTCGATCTAAAAAAAAAAAAAAAAGAGCCACAGTGGAGGCAATATGTTTAAAGTGCTGGTTTTGCCTGAGGGAGATAAGAGAATATTTATCATGGGCAGTTTCCAAAGCCACAGGAGAGATGTGTGCTCCAGGACTGTGTTTCTCTGCCTTTTTTTTTTTCTTTTTCATTATTGTACCTCTATGGAGAAAGAAAATTATTTAAACTTTAAATTAATTAATAAATTTTAATTTGAAATTAAATTTCTCCCTACTAAGAGAAATTAAATATTAAGGACTATGATTTTATCAGGTAGCATGGAGCTTTGGGGGGCCACAAACCATTGTAACATCTGAATTTCTACAATCCCCTAAGAATCAATTTTCACCTCTTCAAGGACAATGTCACCCCTGTTGAAAATTGCATAGGAATTCTTAATTAGATTGATGAAGTATTCTGTAGGATACTCCCACTCACTTTTCCCAGCTCCCA